AGATATACAAAAGAGAGGAAGTTGTAGAGAGCCATGGCCGCCAACGTTTTATCTATGTTCATAGTCTTTGTTGATTACTTATTATAAAAAGGTACAAATGATTGCAAATATTCTTCCACCTATGCTCCTTATGAGTATAGTCCATACTATGAAGATTACAAAACCCATAGGAAGTTTAATTGTACAAAATATATAAGAATAAAAACATAAAAAATAAAAAATATAACAAATACAAAACTATAAAATAAAATATATAAAAATAAAATAAATAAATAATAAAATGAATAAAAAATAAAATAAATAAAAATTAGGTAAAAATTGCACTGTTTAATTATTTATTGCTAAAAAAGATTTTGCTTGAAAGTTTAAAAAGTAAAATAAAAGCGGAAATAAAAGTCATTATTGAAGGCACACTGAAAAGAAAGATAAGGGCATTCGCTTGCTAAATTTACCTTGAACGTTATCTTTGATTCGACGCTCCAAACAGAATCCAACGAAATCAATTTGTCTTGAAATGCAAGTAGCTACAATTGTTTTGTTTTCCAGTCAATGGTTTTAGTTAGCCAAAATTAGAAAAGGCCTCATAGAATTTCCAGTCATCTCTCACTACCAAAAATTATGATTCAATAAAAGTGGTCACTTGTTAAAATTGACAATACAAGAATACATCGGACGATATAAAAAATATCAGGCGTGTGCAAATGTCCGTATATCTTCTTTTATAAAATAAAAATAAAATAAACGAAATGGATAATTAAAGTTTTCGTTTTCTTATTTCACTATATATATATATATATATATATATATATATATATATATATATATATATATATATATATATAGAAAAAGATATATAAATGTTTATATATCAAGAACAATTTTAGGAAAAAAATAAAATATGAAAAAACATTTAAAAAATTAAATTTAAATAAATAGGAGGGATAGCAATCATCCATTTTGTTTTTTGTTTTTTTTGTTATGTTTTGGTTTGTGTGTGTGTGTTTTTTGGGGGGTTGTTTTTTGTTTGGGGGGGTGCACAAGTGTAGAGGTTTGTCCTTTGTTTCCTTATTAGGAATGGGTTTCCGGTTTCTTTTAAAGTTTGCTCCAAAAATATAGGTCTAAAATCTCCACCTAAACACTTAAACTTTATTTACTTTTTATTGTTTTATGTCAACAGGGGTAGGTAGGTTCGCTAATCGTCCGGTTCCCGACACCACCCCCCGGTCTATTGAATAAGAGTAGAGGAATTATCCCCTGTTTCCATTTTAACATTGAGTTTCCGCTTCTTTATAAAGACTTCTAATTCTCTTTCACTCCTAGTAGCTCATTACATCTTAGTGACATTATCACCTTGCTGAGGATGAATTGATAAATAAAATTAAAATAATCAGTGCCGCCTTTACTTCGTGCGCATGTGCAATCGCATCCTTTTTGTCTGATGAAGTCCGAAAGGACGAAAAGCGTTACATAAACACTCTTTTCTATTTTATCATAAATTTCCACTAAATCACTTTGCATTTTAAATAAATGTAGATTTCTTCTGTGAAAATGCTCCAATATTAGAGCAACGTTTGTAAGATCACTTCAACAACAATATCTCGCGAAATATGCCCGTGTGGGTGAGAGAATCTACAAAGTTTCATATATATTAAATAGATATATTAAATGATATATATATATATATATATATATATATATATATATATATATATATATATATATATATATATAAATAGATATATATATATTAAATAGATATATATAAAAGTGAAAACAAGATTCCAGCTTTTTTTTTTTTTTTTTTAGTTTGTATGAGCTAACAGGATCCGTATTCAGTAGGAAAATTATTGCCCACGCATTCATATGATTTTACCCTACTTTTTAGCTAACAGGTGTATTACACCATTAAAGAAAAAATCTGGTTTTGATGCAGTAAATTCTTTGAGATTTTGACGTTTTAGAATGGCTGGCACAAAATCTTGATGGTCGCAAACTAACTGTAACATTACCGCCCTTGACGTAGAATTACAGGCGGCGCGATTTTTGCAAAGTCTTGCTCACTTTTCCCTTTGATTTCGGGAGTTTTATAAAGCTATGTCTACTTCCTGAAAACATACGAGTCATATAAGTACTTCAGAGACATCAAATGAAAGTTGTGGTGAATATTTGACGACTTCAAACAGCGGACGTTCCTTTCTCCCTTTTCTGTAAACATGTTTTGTTAATACATTTATTCCATCAAATCCATAATCTTACCTTTATTTACCCGGACTCATATGACTGTGTATAATATTGTTTGCTGGACAAACAATACCATAATTCCGTCTGGGAAGAAAAGTAATAATTTGAAGGTCATAATTTTTAGTTTATTTCTTTCTCTTCACGTAATGATATCGAGAAATGATGAAGTGAGAGATCTTACTATTTCAAATATTCTAGAAGCTAATATAAAAATACTAAATAAATTAGATCTCTTTCAACAAAAATCAAACGCGTGGAGAATTGTATTAATCATTACGAACAGTAGTAAGTTGATCGATTTTTTTAATCGAATCATCACTTATGATTGAAATTAGAGATTTTCCTTATCACTGGATACGTCTTCGGTCTCCAACATGTATTATTCTACTGTGTGTTTGTGCGTTTAAACAGGAGTAACTTGACACGTCATTGCCTTCTTAAAAGTGGCCATAAAATCAATGTTTACAATATAAATAATTGCTTACATTAATTAATTTCTAGCAGGAACGACAATATTCCACTATTTACATTATGTGGATTGTTGCCCTCATCTTTTTGCCATATTCGCGAGGTTTCGACCGTTGTACGCTCCGGCATTCTTCGGGTAATTGGAATTTCGAATATCTCAGTAAACTGTTATCTCCCTTTTAACTTAACTCTGCAAGATTTTGTTCACCTGTACCCAGGTATTGAACAAACAACTCTTTGGCTCAAATCGCCCGATTCAACCAACGCTTTTATCCACTGGACACATGAGGACACATGGCCCAATTGATAAAAGTGTTGGTTGAAGTAATCCAGTGACTTGACTCAAAGAGTTGTGTGTCCAATATCAGCAGAGTTGAACAAAACCCTGGAGAGTAGAGTTACTAAAGGGAGATAACTGAAATTTTGATATCCAGAAAAGGCATGGCAGGTGGAACTAGAAGAATCTACGCCAGTGGACGAAATAAAGGGTTCAGTTCAAAATTTCAACGTATATCACCCGAAGAAGACCGGAGCGTACAACGACCCAAAACGTCGTGAAAATGACAATAAAGATGAGGACAACAGTCCGAGCAATGTAAATAGTGTAAATAGTTAAAATACCTCATCTCAGAAATATAGACCGAACCTCAAAAAAGCCGAAGCGTACAACGACCCAAAACGTCGTGAAAATGACAATAAAGATGAGGACAACAGTCCGAGCAATGTAAATAGTGTAAATAGTTAAAATACCTCATCTCCGAAATATAGACAGAACCTCAAAAAAGCCGGAGCGTACAACGGTCGAAATATCGTAAATATAGCAACAATGATGAGATTAAAAGTCCGAACGACATAAATAGTGTAAGTAATTACAATCACATTCCTCATCACAGAAATATAGACAAACATTATGCCAGTTTGATGAATAAAAGGTTTGACATTTTACGTGTTCCCATGTTGCAAACCTAATGTGAATGTATTCAAATAAGATGTAGCCTGCTTCTTAACTAGATAAATAATGAGAATAGATAGATAGATAGATAGATAGATAGATAGATAGATAGATAGATAGGAAAATAATTTGACAGATAGATAGATAGATAGATAGATAGATAGATAGATAGATAGATAATTTGACAGATAGATAGATAATGGACAGAAAGATAGATAGATAGATAGATAGATAGATAGATAGATAGATAGATAGATAATGGACTGAGTGGTAGATAGATAGATAGATAGATAGATAGATAGATAGATAGATAGATAGATAGATAGATAGATAGATAAAAATAATTTGACAGACAGATAGATAGATAGATAGATAGATAGATAGATAGATAGATAATTTGATAGATAATTTGACAGAAAGATAGATAATAGATAGATAGATAGATAGATAGATAGATAATGGAAGGAGATAGAATGATAGATAGATAGATAGATAGATAGATAATGGAAGGAGTGGTAGAATGATAGATAGATAGATAGATAGATAGATAATGGACAGAGTGGTAGATAGATAGATAGATAGATAGATAGATAGATAGATAGATAGATAGATAGATGTTTTCTACATATAACGTTTGAAAGCATGTGCGATACCCTGTCCTTGTCAACCGCCAAACAGGGGAGGTAACACAGTGTTGATAGTTAAGGCAATATACCAACTAACGTCACCAGATTTTGCAACTGGACAGAATTTTTTTTTTTGTAGATATTTCAATGTCTAAGTCTGATTTTTATATATATATATTTGCATTTTATCTTCAAACGAATCACACGTTAGATAAATTCTTAAAGAATTCTTTATATACGTCTCTTATATTGTGTTAAATATAATATAATGAAACATAAAGAATGTTATATATATATATATATATATATATATATATATATATATATATATATATATAAAAGAAAAATGAGGCAGAAAGATCTATTATTGAAGTGGTTCGTATGTTTATATAGATAGCTATATATATATATATATATATATATATATATATAGAGAGAGAGAGGGGGGGGAGAGAGAGTGAGCGTGAGAGTGAAAGAGATAGGATGAAAGATAAACAGACGTGCGTTTAAGAAATGAATGTAGTAAGAGTGGCAGAAATAAATTAATGAGATTATCTGTGCAATTTTTCAAATCGGGTCGATCAAAATAAGCATATCAGTCACAGTTATAAAGTTTCAACAAGCGGACAAATTGCTTTGTTGTTTGGAAAGAGATAACGTAATAGCGAGGCGCTTCCATAATTGGACAGTTATAGAAAGACAAAGGCGAGGCTATGTTTTGTTTTCTTCTTAAGGCGTAGTGTCTCACTGGAAACTCGAGTTGTCAAATTTTTCAGTAAAGTTCGCTTTCGGTGTTTTTTTGGGGGGTTTTTTCGTCCACAATTTCTCATTCTCTCGCAAATGCCTTTTTTTTTTACCAATGCATACTCAGTACATTATTTCCAGGTAATAGTTCATCTATCTATCTATCTATCTATCTATCTATCTATCTATCTATCTATCTATCTATCAAAGTCTGTTCATATCTATCTATCTATCTATCTATCTATCTCAATCTGTTCGTATCTCTATCTATCTATCTATCTATCTATCTATCTATCTATCTATCTATCTATCTATCTATCCCATTCTGTTCGTTTCTATATATCTATCCCTGTTCATACCTATACATCTTTCTAATTATGTTCCTATCTATCTATCTATCTATCTTTCTATCTATCTATCTATCTAATTATGTATATTATCTTTCTATCTATCTATCTATCTATCTATCTATCTATCTATCTATCTATCTATCTCATTCTTTTCATATTTATCTATCTCTGTTCATATCTATCTATCTTATTCTGATCAGATCTATCTATCTATTTACCTATATGCCTTTCCGTCGAGCTATCTATCTCATTCAATTCATATCTGTCGAAAAGATGTTCTAATAACTAGGAACGATTTTAAATGTGAATTAAGTTTAAGCGTCTAATGTTATTTTTCTTTTACTTTCAGATTTAACAACTTAAGTCTTTGGTAATTTCAACCATGGAAAGATTAATATTCAAACAATGTGTTAAAGTTATCGAAGCCTATTACAAAAATGGACGTTCAAACAGAAATGCAATGAGAAGTTCCCAAGTGGCATCATCTCTCGAAACAGCGAAGTCAATTGGCCACAACGATCGTGCGCCTTGACGCCATTTATATTTCTTCCTTTGTCATCATCTCAAAAGTAAGGTCTATGCCAACAAGCCAAAAACAATTCAACAGTTGAATGATGAGATAATAAGGCATATTAGTGAAATTGAGAAGCAACTATGCAGAGACGTCATCAAAGATGTTGACCATCGAGTGGAGGTTTGCCACTGAAGCCTTGGCGGACATTTGAGCGATATTATTTTTCACACATAATTACCATGATTTAAACAACATGATCCAATGGAGAAATAAATAAAATTTTCACCAATAACACTGACTTATTTACTGCTGAATTTGATCAGTCCTAATGAAACCACTTTTCTTTATCTATCTATCTATCTATCTATTTAAGTAACTATCTACTTCAGTGTGTTCATCTATGTATCTAACGGAGTCTGTCCGTCTATCTATCGCATTCTGTTTATATCTATCTATCTATCTATCTATCTATCTATCTATCTATCTATCTATCTGATTCTGTTTATATCTATCTATCTATCTATCTCATTCTGTTTATATCTATCTATCTATCTATCTATCTATCTATCTATCTATCTATCTATCTATCTATCTCATTCTGTTTATATCTATCTATCTATCTATCTATCTATCTATCTATCTATCTATCTATCGCATTCTGTTTATATCTATCTATCTATCTTTCGCATTCTGTTTATATCTTTCTATCTATCTATCTATCTATCTATCGCATTCTGTTTATATCTATCTATCTATGTGAGTGTGTTCACAGGTATCTATTTATCTGTGCGAATATTTTTACATATATCTATGTGAGTGTGTTCACATCTATCTATCTATCTATCTATCTATCTATCTATCTATCTATCTATCTATCAATTTCTCTCTGTTCATCTAAATATCTATCTCTGTTCATATCTATCTATCTATCTATCTGTCTATTTATCTGTGTGAGTGTATTCGCATCTATCTTTCTATCTATCTATCTATGTGTGTTCACATCTATCTATCTATCTATCTATTTCTCTGTTCATCTATATCTCGATTCATATCTATCTATCTGTGTATCTATCTATTTGACTATGTAACTATCTATTTGAATATGTTCATATCTATCTATCTATCTATCTATCTATCTATCTATCTGTCTATCTATGTGAGCCTATTCGCATCTATCTATCTATCTATCTATCTATCTATCTATCTATCTATCTATCTATCTATCTAATTATGTATATTATCTTCCTATCTAATTCTATCCATCTATCTGTCTATCTATCTATCTATCTATCTATCTATCATATTTATCTATATCTGTTCATATCTATCTTATTCTGTTCAGATCTATCTATCTATCTATCTATTTACCTATATGCCTTTCTGTCTAGCTTTCTATCTCATTCAATTCATATCTGTCTAAAAGATGTTCTAATAACTTGGAACGATTTTAAATGTGAATTAAGTTTAAGCGTCTAATGATATTTTTTTTTTACTTTCAGATTTAACAACTTAAGTCTTTGGTAATTTCAACCATGGAAAGATTAATATTCAAACAATGTGTTAAAGTTATCGAAACCTATTAAAAAATGGACGTTCAAACAGAAATGCAATGAGAAGTTCCCAAGTGGCATCATCTCTCGAAACAGCGAAGTCAATTGGCCACAACTATCGTGCGCCTTGACGCCATTTAGATTTCTTCCTTTGGAGTCATATCAAAAGTAAGTCCTCAGTCAACAAGCCAAAATATCTATCTATCTACCTACCTACCTACCTTCCTATCTATCTATCTATCTATCTATCTATCTATCTATCTATCTATCTATCTATCTATCTTTTATAGCATGTACTTATCTTTCTAACTCTGTTTATACGTATGTATATATGTGATATCTATCTGTTTATCTCAATCTGACCGTATCTATCTATCTATCTATCTATCTATCTATCTATCTATCTCAGTTCATATCTATCTATCTATCTACCTATCTATCTATCTATCTACCTACCTACCTTCCTATCTATCTATCTATCTATCTCTTTCACATCTTATGTATCCATCTATTTATCTCTTTTACTGCCTATTCAAAAACATCCTCGTTAAATTGTCCACTTAAAATCTTTAAAAACATCCTCAAAATAAATTACAATATCAATATCTATCTATCTATCTATCTATCTATCTATCTATCTATCTATGTCACTTCATATCTATCTGTCTATCTATTTATCGATTTCTCTGTCTGTCTGCTAATATCTATCTATCTATCTGTCTGTCTGTCTATGTCTATTTACAAACTTTTCCTCGTAAAATCGCCCTCGTAATAGCCTTAAGCACATACTTGTAAAATCGTTTATCTATCTATCTATCTATCTATCTATCTATCTATCTATCTATCTATGTTTGTTCATATCTTTCTCCTTCTTTCTGTCTGCTTCTGTGTTTTTGTCTGTCTGTCTGTCTCTGTCTTTCTCTCTCTCTCTCTCATTCACTCTCTCTATCTATCTATCTATCTATTTTGTGTCTGTTCATATCTATCTCTTTATCTATCTATCGAAGTTGGATGAATTCTATCTTTCTTGGTCTTATATACACCTATCTATATGTCTATGTTGAGTGGTCTCTTTTTCTTTACATCCTTTTCTTCTTACTTTTCCCTGTCCTGTCATATCTCCATTTTTCCATTCTTTGTTTTAATCCAGTTTTTTTCTTCTTCTTCTTCCTTTTTTCTCGTTTGAACGTTCCTCATTCATCTTGTTATCATTTCTTCTTTTCTTTGCCAATTCATGTGCACCATTTTGAAAGCTCGTTTTCTCTGGCAGCGTTCCACTTGGACGCACACACAGAAAATGACGTCCGGAAAAGCGACCGAGTGAAATGAAGAAGAAAAACACAGATAATGGCGAAATAATCAAGAGAAAAAGACAATCATCAACGCAAACGTTAATATTCCGCTTTCTTATTGTTTTACCTTGACATGATTTCTTTTTTTTTTCTCTCTCTCTCTTTTCTTTCCGCTTCACTCGTTCAAATATCTTCTTTCTATCGTGCTTTTTATACATCTCTTTCCGCCACCATCCACATCACCACCACCCACTCACTTTTATGCTAATACCTGGAAATGTTTTTCTCTTTCATTAGTTTGTGTCATCTCTTTCTCTCTGTCTCTCTGTCTCTCTCTGTCTCTCTCTCTCTTCCACGCACACATAGACACACAGATACATACTTACCAATATATATGATTAAATGTAAAAATCAATTATATTATTTGTTTTAAGAGTATAATTCTTATCTCAAAATAACAGGATTGATTGTGTTGTGGAGTCTTCTCTCTAATGAGGCTATTGTGGACTTTTCCACTTACTATAAAATAGTAAGTAAGCCTCGTGGGGAACGGTGATACTGCCTTGTCCGGGGGTGGAGTAGACAGGTCCTGAACCTGTTTATACGGGTTCAAAGGGAATATTTTTGGCCGAGACTACGGGCTCGGGGAACCCACAATAAGCCGGACTTCTGCCACATACAACACACGTTTGCGGGGGGATTTAAATATAACAGTGATATATCCTGTTCATTACTGTTGATCGCTCTGCCTTGAGCAGAGAGGAACCCGGACAAAGCTTTGCCGCAGGGCAACGTTTCGTCCGAGGAGGTAGACAGGCCCTGAACCCGTTTATACGGGTTCAAAGCGAATATTTTTGGCCGAGCCTACAGGCTCAGAGAACCCACAATAAACCGGCCTTGTGCCACATACTACCCACGTGGATGGGGGCGTTAAATATAACTGTGATATAGACTGTTCTACTGAAGCTGTGACTGTTCGCAGCTCCTGTCGAGAGAGGAACCTGGATGAGGCTGTGCCGAAGGACAGAGTTTCGTCCGGGGAGGTAGACAGACCCGAACCCGTTTATGCGTGTTCTACGGAGATTTTTGGCCGACCCTACGGGTTCGGATGACCCACGATAAACTTGTCTTTGTGCCACACATATCTCTTTTCGGGGTGGGGGGCTGTTATATATTAACAGTGATATAGACTGAACGCTCGTCAACCGACACACGCTCCCAAGTCGTGTAACAGATTTCTGTTGTATTTACTTTTCAATACACTATTTATCTGCAGCCTCTTGTTTTGTTATTTCTTAACCATTTACTGGGTCACATCGAATTGAAATCTTTGAAATTGCTGGGATAATTATTTGTTCCCAACTGATACTGTTAATCGAATTGAGGTAAAAAAAAATTTGAATGCTGAATTTCAAGGCAAACATCCATAATAATCATCGGTTTCTGTTTAAGAGCACCCAGAATTTGTAGACTTCAGTATTTATATGAAGAGCAGAAATACACTGAAAATAATTTTAATTCGTTCATATTCAATGCGAAAGAAAAGGGCTCGTAAAATATTTCAAAATAGAAAAGTGTACCATTCCCACAAACCCATAAAATTATTACAATGGCTTCGAAAACAATAAGAGGCTTAATCAATACTAAGCGAAATAATAAACAAACATTTGAAGGAGGTATTTACTGTATCACCTGTTATGATTGCCACAGGAAATTCATCGGTGAAACCTCAAGCAATTTAAATAGACGATTATATGACCGCAAGATAGCTATTAAATAAAATAACGCACTCAATTTATTAGTTGCTGACCGTAATGTGTCGGACCATACTTTCGATTAAAAAATGTTGCTTTAATTAATGGAAAGCAATTTACTAAAGTGAATGTTTATCGAAAATGCTTTGATGTTTGGATCATCTTCAGTAAATTTGCGTCCAGGTTCTTACATTTCACCTTTCTTGGTAGATCTTTTTATCTTATCTTAATGGGAAAAGTGATAAAAAAGGCGTACACAAACTGAATGAAATAGTTTCGACTGCATAGCGAGACACATCTAAAAATAGAAAATTCATTTAAACGTTTTCAACCTTTCTTCTCTTATAGCTAAGGTTTGAGATTTTATATCCGCCATCTAAGTACACATGTATAATTACGACACAATATAACTTATTTTAATCTGATAAAAACGTAAAAAAAATAACGCGTCGCACAGCATTTTTACCATTTTTTATTAATTTACCTAATATATATCTACGTTCATTTATTCTCGGTCTCTTCTCATATATACATATTTAGATATCAGTTGTAATATTTTGTATTGAATCGCCATGTTTTTTCATTCATTTTGTTCTTTTTCTAGTTCTTTCCGTCCCGAATTGGTAAATGAACGGCTAACAACACCCGGGTACAATTATTATGTCAATGTCTATTTTGAATTAATTTAATTGACTTTGCAATTTCTTTTTTCCCCTTCTTCTACTCCATTCTCTTTCTCTCTCTTTCTCTCTCTCTCCCTCTCTCTCTTTATATATATATATATATATATATATATATATATATATAAAAGAAAGAACAGTAAGATATATAATCCGGTGTTCTTATAGATATTTTTATTTTTACAAAATAGTACTCAGTGTAAATTTACAGAGCATTAATATTATAAATTAATTGATTTAACATATGCAGAACTGTGTAGCGAAAAAACATATTTTAAATCAATTTTAATTTATAATATATATATATATATATATATATATATATATATATATATATATATATATATGTGTGTGTGTGTGTGTGTGTGTGTGTGTGTGTGTGAAGAAATATAGTCTTAAGGTGTGCTATATTTATGGGATAAAGTGCTCAATATCAGAAATAGAGCGTGTGTAAATATAAAGTGAACATAGAAGTCAAAACTTTTCATGCGATATGCAATCGTGCCTGACGATTGTTTAGCATGAAACAGCCTGTCGCAATAAGTTTTGACTTCTATTTTATATATATATATATATATATATATATATATATATATATATATATATATATATATATATATATATATATATATATCACACTGTGTATGCGTGTGCGAGTGTGGGTTGGTACGTGTTGCAAACGCATTTGCGCATGCTGATCAGCAGATGGGTTGCTACAGAGGGAAATTTTGCATGCAGTTTTTTTTTGTTTTTGTATTTCGTTTTTATATACTTTTGTATCGGCGAAAAATAGCGCGCCAAATTAGTCTTGCCTTGTCTTAATTTGATTGGACACTCGACAGAGAAACCGACAAAATGGCCGCTGATTACGCGGGAATCGTTCTATTGGTTTCCTTCTTCCGCTGATTTTTCTTTCTTTTTACGTGTATTTATGGCTGTGGTACCAATTTTAGGAGTAGAAATATATTGTATTTGATTTTGTTTTACTATTTTTAAACGAATATTTTGCTTTTTATTAGAGATATTTAGCCTTACCAAATCCAAGAGTATTGCACTTTCAAGACGTAAGATGCCAATTATTCTAAAAGACATTTTCATATTTCTTAGCAAAACGGTTTCTTTTCGAAATAATTGCTTAATTCGGTTAAATTCTTGTCGATACAATGCATTGGACACGCTACAGTTTTATAAAACCTTATAGAAATCGTCACAGTAAGATACCCTTAGCCAAAAAGAGTGTATCCATCCAATATTTTGCTAAAATTCACACTCCAATGTAAAATATAAATTATTAGACACATGCGATTTTCCCATCAATTTTGTTAGCCATAAATAAAGGAAAACCTGTAAATTTCGTGTTTAGATAATAGCCTTGTACAAAAAAAAAAATAATAACACGATATAAAACTGACGCAGAAAAGAAAGAAATAAGAAAAACGCCATCGGAAAATTCTTGAAAATTCTTGAAATTATGACTAATTTTAAAACGTATAAAACAGCCAAACATTTTGACCCTGTTCTTTTTAACTGTTTCAGTTATTTTGTTTTTGTGATTATTTGACTGAATGATACAAGGAATAGATGCACGTGTAGCGTGACGTTTAACGTTGTCGAAAGTGGAATCAGGGAGTCGCATTCCAATTCCGACTGCATTAACGGCCTTGGGAAAGGCAAGAATCCATCTCTTCTCTCTCCAGTTGAGGGTTAATTAGTAGTCTTAAGTCTTAGGTGGCAGTAAGTCTTGAATGCGGACGTCTTTGAATTCAAAACTGTAGAAAAAATGATAATAAACCACTACTTTTTTCAAAAACGTTATTACAATCCGCAAATACTAAAGAAAATAAGCGTCCTGAATGTGACGTGACATTAAAATATATCTTAGTACAATGAAAATTTAAGTACATTTGCGCCAAACATTGGGAATAATGCAAAGAAATTATTTGAAAGGAAACAATTGAAGCAGAAATAGATTTTTCATTTAATACTTGCACGATAATTTTTTTTTATTGGTTAATTTGGAAATCAAGAAATACTATGCCTTATCTTAGGTATCTGCAAAAAAGCAATACATAATATTTAAACGGCATTTTAATAATGGAAGATATTTCTTGAAGCTTGTTTAGTTTTAATTCAAAGCTGATAGATTACATTTAATATTTCTAATAAGAAAATAATTTGCTAATTTCAAATCGAATTTAAATTGATTGGAATTATTATTTTTTTAAATTGAGAAAATAGTTAAAATTTAGGTATATTGACAAATATGTTAACACAGTATAACACTTTATTAAATATCTTTCAAAAATAAAATTTGCTTTTCTGAAACTTTATTTGAGGATGTTTAAATGTAATATTTCAAATAAGCAAAATATTTTCTGTATTTTAAAACTAATTTAAATTCACCTGATGGATTTTTTCCTAAAGTAACTGATTTTAGTCATTTTTATTGCAATGTAATGAGCTTTATTAAAAAAAAAGAAAAAAATCTTCCAAAGCTAAAATGTACTTTTTGAAAATATTATTTAAGAAATATTAGCTGATTTTAAACTACAATCCCTCTGATCTACAACAAATAGTATTTACTTTAAGTTTAAAATATCACA